TCATTCTTCCAAATGCTCCCCATCCTCAGCTCTGCCTGTTCCCCTTTAGGGGACACCCTACAGACTCAAGTTGATCAATGTGCCTGTTGAAGAGACAAGGTTGATACAAGAAGACAAAAACGTTGCTGCATGTTTTTGCATTATCATCCATCCGTTGCAAAATCAAGAGTAAGAGAAGACTTCCAGAAGTCTGTTATTGTAATTTTTAGAGGAATTCCTTTACTATCTTCAATAAATCCTTCTTAACAAGCACTGGCAGATAAAGCCTGTCAGCATTGCTTCCGGATTAGCCCAACTTTGAGAGCTGAGAGCCCGAGCGCTCCGCAAATGGACATTTCTTGTCCCTGGGGCGCAAACTGCTCCGCCAGCCCCGGCAGCTTTGCTGGTCAGCAGAGCACCCGAGACGGCGCCGCGTTGCTCATCCGTCCTCGCTACAAGGCAGGGAAAAGTTCGTAAGGATTTGGATCAAAAACATGTTTTCATAAAAGAAACATTATACGCACATTTTATAGAAATGGGAAATCATCACAGAATTTTTACAGCTACAGGATTAACAAAAACGCTCTGCCAGCAGCAAAATATACTTTAACTTCGTGATTTGTGTAAACTGTGAATGATGAGATGTAAATTATGTTGCTACTGAAAAAAAAGAGTGGTATTCAAGGGAATAATTTCTGTGTACAGTATTATTATGTTAACAACTTTGAGACTATTTTGGTAAGGATTATTTAACATTCCTGTGGTCAAGCAAAACAAAGATCAGTGTTTGCATATAGACATTTTAAAATCCATTTTAGGTTGTAGCAGGTTACTGTATAATACTATAGCTCTATAATCAAAACATTTTTATATGATGGTGTGCTTTGACCAATAACTTCAAATTATATTCTGTGTGATTTTGATAATTTTGCTGTTTTTTTTTTTTAGTTCAGTGGAGCATATTTGCAGCATATTTCACAAGTTCAGTTCCTTAACAGCCTGCTTTGGTGTATTTTGTTCTCTACTGGTGACATACAACATCCTCAGGCTTTTGAGGATGAAAATGCTTTGTTTCAACAGAAGTCACTCAGTGCAGTGTAGGAGTATCTGGATAAGAAAGAGGTGACTAGACGATCAAAGGCCCCTTTGACTGCAAGCATTACGAAATCTTTTTGATGTTAGTCCGTTTTTCTTTTGGCCCATGTTCAGGCCAACAGACTCTTATTTTCACCAGATGTTTCTTCTTTTCCTTCCGGCAGACTACATGATCAGATCAAGGTCCTCCAGGATATAGTTTTTTTCATCTCTACAAACTGACGGGAAAGCTTCTATGTTTTTCTCTCCATTTGCTCATGTTGATGGCAGTTGAACTGGAGAAAGTCTGAAACCAGCTAAGGAATGGTTGCCATGGGTGGGCTGCACGGACAAGACAAAGTAAATGTCAGATCAAAGGCTCCAGAAGGTTAAGCTCTGAATTCATACAACAACAAAAAAGTTATCAAATCATATTTTTGTATTCATCTGTCACACGTGCCTTCCTTCCAGTTTCTGCAGCATTATGTCAGGCTCCCAGCCTGAATGGTAAGAGTGGAACAACTGCTTTATATAAAGTAGTTACAGATTTAAATGGATCTTTTAACTGTCATTTATTCTGTTAATTTTCTCAAAGACATAAATTATCCTGTGTATCAAATATTGGATTATTATTTCTTTCTTCTTACTCTATTATTCATATACACCATCATGTACTGGCAGTCTAGGAAATTTCACAGTTCCTCTATTATGTTTTGACATACTTGTAACATTTCTAGGCTAGTCGTAACTAGTTTCCTCAAGATTGTTAATATAAACAGTATTTCATATATGCTGCTACCAGATTCCCAGCATTAATTTAAAAAAAAAAAAAAAAAAACCTTCAGATATGGATGTAATTTGCATCCATGATTTCTATAGCAAGCTCTTCCTACCCAATGATTTCATGTATGTAGAAAAGCCTCAGTATAAATCTGGGGGAAGTAACCATTTTGAAACCTGCTCTACTACTCCAAAAACCTGTTTAAATGTTGTGCTCTTAAGCAAAGGAAAGATTTCAATGTCACTTTTTACTTACAGGTCAGCCTATGACTAAGCTGCATGTTTACAGTGATAATAGCTGTAATATAAATATTTACATGGTTTATATAGTTAGCAATAAGGCGTAAGCAGTGCTAACTTTATGCGTCACTCTTGTCCTAAGTGTACATGGCTTATGATAATAATGTTTTTGTTTATTTCTTCCTTATTTTCTTTCAAAGTATTGAAATCTCCAATCGAGTCAGTCATAAATAGGAAACAGAACCTATACTGTTTGCAGTTACTTCACTGGAAATGGAGAGTTTCTGGTTTGAACACACATAACTTTCTGTGTGCAAGCTCTTCAGCCTAAGTTACTGTCCTTACCCCAAAACATCTTTTATGTTAAGGACTGTGTAATTTCACATATGGGACTTTACCATGAGCAAGGCTCTAGAAATAAATGTCAGCCATATATTTCAGTTTTCCATCAGAAAGTTGTCATTCAGTGTTTCACACTTTATTCCATTTTCTTGATAAGCAAAACAAACTCTTTAGGAAAAACATCAAAGCAATCTACAAGGTGGATGAAATTAAGGAAAAAGATCAATTTTCTTTTTTTTTTTTTCCTAACCAGTTATTTATATTAAGTAATCCAGAATATCTTTTTTTTTCTTTTGCTTTTAAAAAAAGTTTTGTACAACAGATATTAATACATTTTAAGATCTTAAAGGAGTATCACATCCACATTTGAGTGAGAAAAAAATGTTATGAACACAGATCTTTTTTGAAAAACCCTCTATCTACCTATCTGGCCCATTTGTCACATAATCTGATCATTCATTTAGCTTCCTGTGACTTCTATTACACCTGCCTTATCAATATGGACCTGAAAAGACCGAAATTGAATTTTTGCTCAGGTTCACATAGGAAGGAAACTAGGAACGAAATCCAGACCTTCTAGGTCCCCTAAGAGAACACAGCTTCCAGAGCTGTACATACAAAAATAAGATCTGGAACTGTGCTGAGGCAAAATTATTGCTTTGTTAAAAAATATGGAATGGAATTATGATTGTATCAGAATAGGAGTACACTATTATAGAAAATGCTGCCAATTATTTTTAAAAATTGGTGTGTTAGAAAATCTAACAGTCTAGGCATTTATAGCTGTCATGTCCTGTGATTTCTGTGAATTATTATCATTAACAATAGCTGAGGTAAAAGATCTAAATGTGCCAAAACTAAAGGGTTTAAGATAACGTGCCTAACTCGTGGCATACACTGAATCTGCCCTCCCCTTTTGGCTTCTGTTCGTTTTTGGAAGAGAAAACTATACTGAAGTTGCTTGTCTTGGCAAAGCCGGCTCCTTTAACTTGATCTCCACCCTATTTCTAGGAATTCAGCCCCTTTCATGCCTGCCAGTCTGCCGAGCTCGGTGCTGTTTTTGGAAGGGCAGAATACCATTTTCATATAAATTCTATGACATACTTGCATGACTTGCCAAAATGTTCTATGAAACCTAAGTGCCACATGAATGATGGCAAAATAGGGCCATTTAACATGTAGCCTTGGCTATGGCTTTTATTTATGATCCATTTCTAGTCACATATTTGCACCATCAGCTTGCCAACGTTTCTGTGATAGCCTATTATTTTAGGCATTTATAATTTGCTCTGTTTATTCCCAACTGAGTATTAATAAAACCTTGCAGTCCAGATATCTGTGTCAAATTTGAGGAATAAATATGTAACACACCAGTGACTGGTGTGACTCCATAAACTGATGAAACTACTATGTTTGTCTAATTGCCTTTAATGTTTGGAAAAATTAAAGCAGCTCAACTATTAAATTTACAGAAATAGTTACTATTTTGCATCTGTGGTTAAAGATTTTCACAAGGAATCCAGTTGTGCCTTTTAATGTCAAATTATAGCACTGAGTGCTGTTTTCACACAGGTTACTGAAATAAACACATTTCAAAACCTTCTGACTGCAAAGTAGGTGCCTTTCACAATGTATTGGCTCCAAAATCAGGTGAAAATGCAGGAAACAAGGTTTTACAGACAGCATTAAAACTGGTAGCAATTTTACTAGAACCTTGCAGTTACTTAATGAGCATTCAAAACATGGTAATTTCCATCCTTTTAATTCATAGTTGGAATACAAAACTTCATTTTCTGCTTATTTTGTCTCTTAAACGATGAAAAAAAAATATCAGATTTCGCTATGCAGAAGTCAAAGTCCTCTGTAGCCCACTGCGTTCGTGGACAGGAATTAAAGACCGTGCGGAGGCTCTTGAGCCGGGGCAGCGGCCCGCACCCCGGGGGCCTCCTCCCACTACGAGCGGCTCGCGGAGGAGCCAGCGGCGGCTCCTCGGGGTCTCTGCGCCTCTTTCCCCAGCGCCGCCGCCATTCACGGTCACAGCCTCGCCGTGTCCCGCACTGCGCAACGCAGACATGCGCAACTCACAAGATGGCGCCTCCCCCCTCCCGGCCAAGATCGCGAGCACTGCGCACGCGCGCGGGGGGGGGGGGGTTCTCCGAGGCTTTCTCCTCCCTCGCCGCTGATTGGCCATTGGTCACGTGCGGCGGCGCCAAAGCCCCGGCTCTTGCGCGCGCGCGTGCGCTGGAGAACGTGAGTGGCGGGGCGGGGAGGGGAGGGAGGGGGCGCGCGCGGTGCTTCTGCTGCAGCCGTTGGAACCGTTGGAGCCGCCAACCGCCGCGCGCGCGGGCGGGCGGGGGTGCCTGGGGGCGGCTGGTAGCGCGCTGGCTCTGCTCTTCTGGGCAGGCAGAACACGAGGCTTCCTGGAAGCGCGGCGTGACGCAGGCGGCGCTGCGGGCGTCGCCGCCCGGCCCGCGGGCAGGTCGGTGCGCTGGGGAGCAGGTGCCGCAGCGGGGCGCGCGCTCCGGCGGTGCCCCCGGCCGCCGCCCGGCTCCCAGCTGCTGCTCGCTGGCGCCGCCTCCTTGGAGCGCTGTTTCTTGCACGTTAAGAAAAGAGATAGGGGCACTAGCTGGATTGGAAGTGCTTTATCTGTTCGACCATACGTGGCATATGAATCTACATGTGCCGAGAAAAGTGTGTGTTGCTTTTAATCTTTTTCATTTTAAGTGGCAAAACTAATAGTAACATGCTGCTATTGTAGAGGGTCTATACAGGACCTACAGAGACTTTTCTAATAAAGAAAAACTGAATATTTTTTAAGCAGAGTTGTTGAGATATAAAGATTTAAATTTTTATTCCTGCTCTTAATGCCTTCTCTGGGCTAAAATAACTTACTGATTTGGCAATTGTAGCAGACATGTGTTATTTATAATCAGCTACTTGAACAGAGTAAGTTTCCCTCAGGAGAGGGCTTTGTATTATTTAGAGCTGGTTTATATTGCCCTGTGAAAGACTAGTGTGATGCCTCGCTCAGGAGGAGGAGAGAGGAAGGTTGTTAGTATTTTGTATTGCCAGTAAATCCTTTCAAACGTATGAGACCCCGGCTGAGGCATATGGATAAAGTACCTACATCTGCAGCTGTTACCTATCAAAGGTAATAGACTGAAGATCAGGGAGGAATGAGTTCAGTGGCAAATTAGTCACTTCACAGAGATACTCAGAATATTTTCCAAGACCACATTGTAACTAGTTATTATTTGAACTTTCACAAACCAAAGAGGTTTTGAAGTCTTTATTAGAGCAAATAATCTTTCTCCTATTGCAGTTGCAGGAATGGAAAGCGGGTTTGATTTTGTTCTTTCTGCTTTTATCACTTCCTTCTTGTGACTTGGGGTTGTGAGTTATGATCAGATTCTGGCCACTTAGAAGCCACCATAGTGTGATGGCTAATTTGTGACTTGCCTGTAACAGGTAGTACGAGCCACGAGTCCAGCTGGTGCCTGAACTTCAGACGTTATCTCTGTTGCCATTTTCCTTCAAAGGTGCTCAAGATCACTATATCCCTCTGCTTTCATTCCTACCTGACGTTCATTTCTGACTTCAAGTCTTAAAATTACCGAATCAGCTGCTATAACACTGAGCAAGCAATGCTGTAGGGAGACTCAACCTAAAATGTCAAATTCCAGGAGAGGTCAGTCTGCTTGTCTAAGCGGTCCTTAAGTCCTAAGAAACAGCATTGCTTCCACAGCACCTGGAGCTGATGGTAAATCCCCTCTGGTAAAATGCTCCGATGGAGATGGCTGTATGGGAGCTGGAAGGCTGATTCCCAGGTTACTTTCACCTGAAAGGAGACTGGATCATTTATGGCCACTCTACAGTGTGAACCGCAGTGAAGTTTGCAGGGGCCTTGGGGAGATTCCCTTGTAAGGCAGGCTCCTCAGCTGAATTTAACAGAATACTGAGGATTTTACCTTTCTTAGCAGGATTCTGTAATGCTAAGGTGCTGCTCTTGCACATTATTTTTACAAGGCAACTTACTAAATTCCTGGCAGTTCTGTATTGAAAATTGATGACAGATCTTCTGAAGATCAGAATCTGCCATAGGGATAGAAGGAGAACTTACACATCATGGCTACATTCAGGAAGGAGGGAAAGGAAACATTGTATTTCTCTCTCTATTCATAAAATGCAGGTCAGTGTCAGACTGTATGTTTTTGTTTTGGTTTTGAGGTGAAGAGTGGTGGGTTCTATTTAGAATCACAAAGGCATGAATCAAAACTGTATGTCCAGACTCTCAGTTGTTCTGTCCATTTTGAGGAGAACAAGGGTACCTGGGGACTCTTCAAATTATAGGTATAGGAATAGACAGTATAATGTTTCATTTTAACTGATGTTTACTAAAATATTTACTTTATTACATGATCTGTCAGTAATATGAAGCCGTAGCATTTTATGGTTGCCAAGCAAGCGAAAGGGGTTGTCACAGTAAAAACAAAAGTTTAAATGCTTTGCAGTTGGTCAGCACAAAACAAACAAATTCCAAGAATGTTTAGTTCAGACATTTATCTTGAGTAGGTGACAAAAAATGTGGACACGTGGCAGCCTAGATGCAAGACAAATGTTTGTTTCAAGTCTGTTCTGGAAACTTGTACATTTTGAAGCACGTGGCAAGTTTTTTAAAAGAAAATGGAATAAGTGCTTCATTGTTTCAAATCTCATTAGACTTTTAATAAATAGAGTAGAGGCTGAGGAAGAATGTACAGACAGTTGAAAGCACTATATGGTTAAAGTGAATTGCATTCCAGCAGGTTCTCAGATAACTAGTTTGTTTCCTTTTTTTTTTTTGTTTTTTTTCTCCTTTCTAATGGAATACATAATGTGTCTTGGCAGACATTTTTGTTTGCTTCCAATAATCAGAATGGCTTATAACACATAGCATTGCTGTAATCCTGGTGAAGCATTCCCATTCATCCCTGTAGCCTGATTGCTGTACAGACACACACCACATGAGGGTTCCTTTTCCTATGTGCATAATCTTTTATGTATAAAGATCTATATTTGTGCAGAATATGCATTATTCTGTATAAATCTTTTATTTGTATCATACAAATTTAAGAATTGCAATAATCTTCTAATTCAGTTTTTATTCTGATTAAGAAAGATGGATATGTCGAATGTTTATTAAGTTTAGCAAACTGTCTCAGATGTTTAGCAAACTTTTAATTATGGTTAAAAAAAGTATTGCTGAATTTGAAAATGTCCCTATTATTAATCATTATTAAAGAATATGTGTATATAACCATGTCTTTATTATTTTCTTTCAGATTTTCCCAAACTTAGATGGTTTTGAATTCAAAAAGAAGACTAGAAATAATCATCAAGTTTCTTTGAGTAAGAAGTGACAATGCAGCGAAGGCAGAGAGGAATCAGTGCGGGATTGCTTTTGCTGTTCTATGAAATTTCTCGAGTTGGTTTTCAGAACATTCCTCCTGTTACACTTGGGACACTGGCACTGAATATTATTCTCTTTCTGAATCCCCTGGGACCGCTATCTGAAGTGTGTATCAGTGTAAATGAAAGCTTCTACAGGAAGAATTGGTGGCGATTGCTGCTTTCTCCTATCCACCATGCAGATGACTGGCATTTATACTTTAACATGGTTTCCATGCTTTGGAAGGGGATAATGTTGGAAAGAAAGCTTGGAAGCGCTTGGCTTGCGTATATAATTGCAGTATTCTCAGTGCTCATTGGAGTTGTTTATATGGCACTGGAATATGCACTTGCAGAACTTCTGGGTGACCCTACATATAAAATGATTTGTGCTGTGGGTTTTTCAGGTAAGACATGTAGTTGATGCAGTTTACTTAGGTAAAATAAATATTTATAGGTACTATATAGTCATACTTGGTGAATGTAGAAAATGTATTCATCCAGGCGCATCTGAATGCTCCAAGCTTGGAAATAAGTTAGGCTGCAACCTGTGTGTATGTGTATCAGAACATTCAAGCAGTAGATTAAGGCAACTTCAACAGAACTAATATCCATAGCTGGTCTTTATGAACCTCCAATATCCTCCCATGTAATCATTCCTCTTGAGTTGCAGAGAGTAATATACCTATAGAACAGCTGTTGAAGAAGTAAAAATGAGTGTTTTCCTGGTGATAACTCCTCCTTTTGAGAGTCAGTCTGCATCTGTCTTTATGAACCATGTACTTTTCCAGCTTTCAAGAGCCTAAAGATACTTGGATACTTTTTTCTTGTTTTTACAGTTGAATGAAGTAGATCTGTTTGTTTCCCAGGGAGACCTGTTGGAACACCTAGCCTAAATGGTCGCAGTGACAGTTGCACCTAAAATATTTGAAATTCAGTGTACAAGGTTGTGGTGAGCCAAGGATCGATTGGTAGAGGCAATTGCTAAATAACAATTGAGAAATTCAGTATTTCTTTCCTCTATTAAAATTTGTAATTTCTAATCCAAGTACAATATTATCAGTAACAAATAACAGAAGTTTGTGTAAGGGAGTATTTATTTAAGCACACTTAAGATTAGGGATGATCATAGAATCTCTCCATTGCTGTGTATGTTAAGGAATTTGCCAGCTCCCGAGTTTTCTATGGTGTTGGAAGTTGAGAGGGTGGGCAGGAAACCTTTTCCATATTTTTAGTTAATATATCTGTATCATGGTCCATTGAGCTGTTTTTCCTGAATCAAATCTTTTAATTTCAGTTTTGCAGATTTTTTTCCAAGCAATCGTTTCCAGTTTCCTCCTGAGGGGAACTTTTTCAAAAACATTTTCAAAGTTCAAGTAAAATCTGTGAACTCATTCTGTCATATCAGCTATTGCTTACATGTAAGAACAGTTGTATTCAATTAGTAACAAATGGTTATTTATTGTGATTAAAGGTAATTTATGTGGTTTTTCTTTTCTTTGCAGAAAGACAATGATTCTGGAGTGTATGTAAGGTGATTTTCCATTAATTCAGAATTCTGGAGTCTGCTCTTCAGTAGACTCAGCACTAATGCATCACTTTGACTTGTTTTCAGTCATGGCTTTTCTCAATTCACACAACGTTTTCTGATACTTAATGATTTTGTTCGTTGCTACAGCTGGACTTTCCATTTTAAAATTGCTTGTATTATTTTGAATACCTCAATAGCTGTAGTGAATGCATATATGAAAAAGTAACTTACGTATTTGTTGATATAGCCAGTTCTAAGTTGTAAGGTGTTTTTAAAAGGCATTGAAAAATATCACTGGAAAGCAGCTTAGGACTGTTCTGGCATGTAACAGTATGCTTCCTGGTGTTGTGAAACTGCATGGTTCTACAGTTTTAGTTGTTTTAGAGTCATTTTTATTTCTTTATTACTTGGACTCAAACACTTCTCTCCATGTGATCTGTTCTTTTGTTTGCAGGAGTCTTGTTTGCTCTGAAAGTTCTTAACAATCATTACAATCCAGGAAGATTCAGCAGTGTCCTTGGAATGCAGATATCTAATAAATATGCTTGCTGGGTGGAGTTGGTGGCAATTCATTTAGTTTCCCCAGGGTAAGTGCATTTAATACTTCAAAGATAGAAAGGGTTTAGGGTATCTGAAGTTGTTTGAAAACTTATTTTGAGGTATGAGTAGTGTGTGCCTGCTCTCCAAAATGATTGTTGAGGCTAAGCGTTGAGGATACAGGTTGCTTTTTTTTTTTTTAACTGAAAAATAACAAGGGCTCCTGGGCAAAGGGACACATGCCTTCAGCAAAACAGGCTAACCTGAGATTTACCGTAGTCTGAAACTGATGGCAAAGACCATAATTAACAAAACAGTTTTCCACTGTTTACTTTGTATTTCTCTCATAGTCCCAATTTTCCATTTGTTCCAATCACTCCTCTAGCATAAGAAACAACTGTTCTGCAGGTCCTGCTACTTTTGTTTTTTTTCTTCCCTAAAATTCGCTGCCTTGCACTACTGCGAGTACACCGTTCAGTATTCCTTGGTGCTCGGTTCTGCCAGCACAATTCCCCCAGTCCCCTCAGATTAGTGCCTTCCTTTTCTTTGGCAACTGATTTTTGGAATTCTAAATGCAAGGCAATATTTGTTATAATATTTTATAACTGTCAGCTGTATTGGAGAATGGATGTGAAATCAAACCACCAAACTTAGTTTGTAGGTTTGGTAACTTTATTACTTTGTCAAACCATAATTTACAGACATGTTACCATGTCTCAGACAGGTGATGATGAAAATAGATGAAAAATTTCTTTTTCCAGGAAAGGGAGAAGAGAAAATTCAATTATTAGCTATTCTAAATGCTATTCATGCTGTTTTCATGACTTACTACCTGACTGAATACAGCAAGAATCCCAAATTAAATAAAAGAACTGCAGTACAAAGTACACAATGAGCTTGAGAGGTCTTTTATGTGATATCACTGCATGCATGAAACCAAAGTTTTCGGCATTATATGCATTCTTTTGCAAAACATAAACTGTCACTTTAGCTGAGGATAGTTGTTTGTCAGTGTGTTTAATACCCCTGTTCATTTTCTATTAGTGAGTTGTGAAAGAATATTATGTAATGAAACCTCATATGTTCATCTTGTACCATATGCAATTCATGGAAAAAACGTGGTTAGTGATTGCGTGTTGTTTTTTGTTTTAGTTATATTACTGCATTAACGTTATTGATGGGATAAGACTTGTTTGGAAGATGTAGAAATAATGTCAATAACTTTCACAGTTTGAGTGGGAGCTTACATTGCTCCTTGGTCTAAAGAACCTCTGGACTGTTGCATGCTATCCTGATATTAAAGGGCAATTTCACAGCACTTAAATGATAAGGTGCATGATAGAAAACAAGGAGTAGTTTCTAGAAGTTCATGTCCCAGAACACTGTGTTTGATCAGTAACTGCTTCCAAATGAACCATAGCCATTGCAAAACTACGAGCAATGCTGTTGCATGTTCATCTCCCTGCTCAGGGCATGTTGTAGTATTTGAAGTGTCAGATTAAGTGGTGTTACTTTGTAGGTCAGATTGCATAAGGCAGCTTTGCGTAGGTGAGAGGTGGATAACTAGGGCAGAATTCTGTTTAGTTAGAAGGACATAGCTTCAGCTTGGGCCTGCCTTGGAAGATATTTGTATCACAAGATCATCTGAGAATCCATAAGCAATGAAGGATTCAAAACTAATACTGAGGGTACTAAAATTTTATGTGCTGGGAGAAATTTAGGTTTTTACTAGATTTCTGGTTTTTTTCTCATTTATGCTTATGTTATGTGGAAATTTAAAATTGCGTTTAAGTTCCTTCCACCCCTCACCTTCCAAAATGGGAGGAAATTGCGATGTCAGCCTTACAACTTAGTGTATCAATAATGAAAATCAGTTCGTTCATTTCACTTGAGTTCCACAAATTCACAGGATCTCAAAATATCTGAACAAAAAGTAGTCAAAGCATCAAACGTCAGCAGTAGGAATGCTGAGATTTTCATATACAAGTTATTTACATAAACATATTCTGACAAACCTGGTTCTGAATTTTGATATCCTCACACTCTGTCTTCCCAGTCCCAACCCTGGTTCAGTCTCTGGTGTAGATAGATTTTTTTAGTTTGAAGACTTTCCTTGTGGGACCTTCTGTTATGCATCTGTTTTCCTACTTAGTCTGCTTTTAAAATGCTCATTGTTTAATGTTTAGAGAGATCACTGATCATCATTGGTTATCCATCATATTTACTGTCGAAGAGTTTTATTGATGAGTTGTCCTGCCGTGTTGATATGGGTAAAATTGATGGATTTTAAATCAGCAAGTTGCACCGAGGGAAAATACAAATGGTCTTTCTGCTGTAACATCTTGACTGTTACAGCTGTTTGAATCAATGAATTGGCGTATTCTTGCTTGACAAACGCTTCTGTCGATTTGACTAAAGATTTTCTGACATCCCTTACCTGAAGTTCTAGCTTGTTTTTGCCATAGTGTCACAGTAACGAAAGCCCCAACAGCAGTGTAATTTGGGCTTGGAGACACTTGAGCATATGTCCTTCACATTTCTTGGTTTAGTTTTAAGCCATCCTTTGATCTGGTGATAAGAGTTGAAGAGCAGATCAAATTCATGTATCTTTAAGTTTTAAGCCCTGTGTTTGTTAGTTGCAGGACCAGATCAGTAATTTTAATGTATTGTTGAGAAACAAGTCTTTATCTTCACTGCACTAGTGTTCTTTAATACCACTCATGTTTCTTAGAAATCATTAGGTCATTGCAGTTCATCAGGAGAATATTGTCAAATAAACACTTCTCATTTGATAACAGATTTACAGAATAAGCAAGCAGGGAGATCATGTTACAGTGGCTGGAGCTAGTAAATGTGCCTAAGAACTAACTATTTAGAGCGTGCTGGAGGGATCCTGAAACTGTTCATGAGTTATTTCTGGAAACTGAAGCAAATCAGTTCTGGTAATTTGCAAAGGGCAAGTGATGGTGCTTGTGGAGGGAGCCCAGGAGTTGTAGACAAGATGAGCTGCTTGTTTCTCTGTGTTCTATGGAGCAGCTGAAGTGTAGTAGGCAGCTGAAAGATATTTCAAGAAGATCAGGGCAAACCAACTCAGTTCCTTCCTGTGACGCTGGAAAAGGATTGTGGCTTGGAGTGATACTGCAGATGCCACTTGCCTTGCTTTTAGCCAGACTTTGAACCCGCTATTCTCAAAGGAATCCAGAATGGGGTGCAAGAGGATGGGTTGCATCACACAACTGGTTAGAAAAAGATGTACTTTTTTGCTCAGTTCCCAATTTATTGTAAAATACCTGGAATTAGGAAACTTACTAGGTCTGGTTAAAATGGATTCTATGTTGTTTCTGTGTTTTGCTTGTTCTTTTCTTCCCCTTATGTGATCACTTAATTTGTTCTAATTTGTGTTCAGAGAGGGTGTTCAGCACTGGTAAATTAACTACATTGCCTACTTTCCAAGCAAGATTTAATTTTATGGCAAAGGGTGTAAATTGTAGGTGACTACCTGCTTGATTTAATTTGGAAATTAACTGTGTGTATAAATAAACACATGAATTTCATTTCATTGTCTCACTGTTTATCATTTTTCAAAATGAATAGCTCTAGATTCTTGCGCTGTGTTGCTTTGTTATTACTGATCTGTTTAGTGAATGTGTGCTCTCTAGCAGAGCATTGGAGTAGGAGCTGTATCAACATATGGGGAAAGTGTAATATGGCTTATCAAATATACTCATTTTGTGCATGTCAGTAGTATTGTATCAGTGTGGCTGTGTAGCTGAATCTTATTTTTCACTTTGAATATCCTATTTAGAGATTTTAATTGTTAATTTCTCTTCTTTGAATATAACTTTTTTAAAAAATAGCAGATATCTATTGCTTGCTTGGCAGTATAGCTTGGACACCTATAATGCTAAACTGTTTGATAGTTGTGAAATAGAAATTACTGTTTTGCTGAAGACCTCTTAAAATTGAATGTTTCTGTTTATGTTGTATTTGGTATTTTTTTCAATGTATTATAACCAAGGTCAAGAGACCTTGCTTTTTGCATTTTGAGGAAGAGTAATAGGCTCAACTAAGTCCAAATGAGCATAAATGTTTTGTAAAATGTTTCCAGGAGTATAGGTAAATCAGTCTCATGTTTGGGATTTTTTTTGGAGTAATGCTTTTAAAAATAGTTAATATTTTCTGTGATAGATATCACACTTTTCAAAGTAGGTAAAGATGTATTTTTTGGAACAAGGAATCTGAAAATAATTCCTTATAGTTTATTTTACCACATGGTTTTTGCCTATAACTTTTACCACCATTTACTTGTCTCATAAAATTTGCTGGTAACTTGTAGAAGAGAACTGCAGTTTTACACAGCAGAGTCCCAGAGCATGGTTTAGTAGATATGAAAAGGCTGAATTTAGACTTGATTTTCATCTCCCTCTAGTGGCACATGTTCTACCAATGACATTTGTAAGTTGTATTGACATGAGTATATGTTGCATCATGACCATATCTGTGTGGCTATTTTGGATTTCTGACCAGAATGTGTTTAAAAGTCATATTTAGATCCAGTCTTTATTTAGAGAAGGGTTTTATTTCTGCCTTATTAAGTAGGGGAGGAAAAAAGGATTATTTGAATTTTTACAGCAGGTAAAAATCCAGTAGACTTAAGTTATTTATGATCACGTATGCTAGAAAATATTAAAAAGTGTATTAGCGTCTCTAGTGCTTAGTTCTTTTAAACCTCATAATAGAGAAGCAGTTTAAAGCATTTAGATGCTTCTAGGTGAGCAATATTCTGTCCTTTTGACAGTTAAAATTCTGTTCTCATTAGTTTTCAGCTTCTTGAGGCTATCTGAATACTTTTCTGTAACTGTGTATTCCCACTGCTTTTAGAGAAGTCAGAGAAGGAAAACTTGGCACTTTAGCCCACATTGTTCTGACCATGTTAGATATTTCTAGGAAGAAAGAAATAGCAAAATGAAATAACTTCCATAAGAAACACTGAAGTAAAGTTAACTGTAAGATTAACTTCATGTCTCAGACTTTAATGTAGTGGAGCTGCAGTTCTCAGATGCAGCCTAGAGGTGGATCTCCTTGATTCTTTTCCTCAAGATAAGCATGCTAAAATGTGCAAAGAGGGTTTCAAAGAAAAACTGCTCAGGTGGATTCAATTCAAATAACTGATGCTTTAAAATTAGAAGTCAGCAAACCTGTATGTCAGGGCAGAAATTAATGAACCTTTGAATTCCCCACTGTCTTGGCAGACAAGTTCTTTCTCTATGCCTGGTCTCAGTCCAACTCAGGAAGTTTCTGGTATACAACAAAATTTGCGGTCACCTTTCTATTGCTCACATTTTTTTCCTTTCTCCTAGGACTTCTTTTGCTGGGCATTTGGCAGGGATTCTTGTTGGACTGATGTATACTGTGGGACCTCTGAAAAGGATCATGAAAGCCTGTGCAGGTATGTAACTGGTTCCATTTGTGAAATCTGTATAAAAAACATTTTATTTTTAAAATAGAGTAAATCTAATATAGAAAAATTCAGGCATATAGGTGATTGAGGATATGTTTTTATTAAACAGAATGCAATAGGAAAGTTTGCTTTAATGTGAATGATAACCAGTAAGTGTGCTCGCTAGGGCTCTGCGCTTGGAGGAAAAAGTCCTGCCATGTATGTTTAAAGTACAGATAGAGTTCAGGTAAAATGGGATTGAAATATGTAACTTTGTTAACAAAGTGCTGTGCATGCATGTAAATATACTAGAGCACAGTATGTCACTAGGTTACTTTGTGCTGCTTTCCACTGTTGCTTTCCATTTTAGTGGAATCTCCTATCTTTTGGAAAAGGCTTTTCCATCGTGCAGCAGGACAAGAAGATTGTAGTGTTATTATAGTCTTTCATTTTCTCAATGTACAACTTTTTCAGAAAAAAAATCAGTTATGTTCTAGAGAATGGTTTTTAGGGTGTTTTGTATTTTTCTACTCTGCATGGATATATTGCTTTATCATTGCATGCTAATAGTAAGTCTGGAGCCAAATAATAGCTTGCCAATGTTAAGTACACTCACCAATGGGAAAATAAGTCTGCAGATGTCCGTGGCTTCATATTTGTGTCATGTCAAACATTCTGAAAGAAACAATACTTTAAATTGTTTTCTCTTTTTAAATGGACAATTTGATTATTTTAATGCATGCATAATTCTTCTTTTAGGTGTATTTTCTCCATCCACTTACCCTGCTCATCAGAGAGACCACTACTCACGTAAGTGCCCTTAGTTAACTAAAAGCTTATTTCCACTTTAAAAAGCATTGAGTCCACTTTTACTAGTGTTGAAAGACCTGTATAAGTTTTTACATAGTTTTTTATGTAGATAATTGAAAAAATGATGTAAGGTGCTTGGTCTACCTTTCTGTTTATTGCTCCACTGGATTGGTTTTGTAAATTAGAAAATTGTCATATATATTTGGAACTTCTAACTTGGTTTCCTTCCAAAATTAAAATAAAATAATTCATGAAAGAAAACTAATATGAGGATAATATCTTGTTTCACCATGTGCCAGTGAGTAACAGCAGTTTGTTTATTTCCATTTTAGAGTATTACGATCGTCCAGGTTATGAGTACAGCACACGGAGGAACTATGATGTTTATACAGGTGGACTTACTGAAGAGGAACAGCTTGAAAGGGCAGTGCTAAACAGTCTTAATGAGAGAGGTAGGAATCACATGGCATTTTATATTTTTTACTAGTGAGAAGGTAGTTAAAAAGAAAATGCATTGTTCATTATTTATTTCCAATATTTTGACTTTTTTCTCTTCAGAAAAAAAATTGAGGAAAATTTCCTGGTAAAATTTTTCAGAATGCAATGTAAGGATGCAGTATTGTTCTGTTTGGGAAAAATGCAGTTATTCAAAGTTGCTTGCTTACATTGTTATTACTACACAGAAATGCTTTTATAGTTTAAAAAAAAAAAACCTAAATAAATTAAGCTACTGCACCAGCATGTCTTATACCATAAACAGTAACATGAAACAGTATAATAGAAAAAAATGGTATGTTTCCAATCCTAAAACTATCTCTGCCTATTTTTTTACATGTTTCACTGAGGAATAGTGTACTGGCTTCTTATTCTTCATATTGTCTTTTTTCACCTCAGAAATAGTTTATACTCTGAATTTTAGCTAAGGGGCCTGAAAAAATAAAAATATTAAGAACTGAAAATTATTGAGTTTGAAATTTAATAGTTGGTTTAATATTACTCATTGGGATATATTTTATCTTTTCTTGACATAAGTGAATTCAAAAGGGGGAAAAATACTTTATAGAAAATACATCTCAGATTCTGAAGACTTAGGGAAAACCTGTTGGAACTTTAACAGTATGTTATTAGAGCACCGTGATGTCCTACAAATCTTTAATTCACATAAATATATTTATGTGAATTAAAAGGGCAAAAATTAGTATACATTCTCTAGTGTCAAGACTGGAAAGAATAAATAAAACAGAATAAAATAAAAAAAAAAAAAACTCTTGCATGCCAATATGAATTCTATTGGGAATTTGGCCAAAGGCTGTTTCTTTTCATTTTGTTAAAGCTATAACAATTAATCTTAATGAATATAACTTAACTAGATATAGTTAGCAATGTCACTTGCCTTTTTTCATTTTTTAACTTTCCTGAGTGCAAGGAAGAAGCATCAGGGAGAAGAGATAGCAATGCCCCTACTCATAACTGCCAGTCTTTCCATTTCAATGCACCATTCATAAATCTCTACCCAAAAACTAACTCACACTACTATTTTTTGGCTGTTAGAGATATAGCAGGCAAAATATGAAAATGAATATCTTGACCCATCATTGCTGCCTCTCCTTTCTGGTTTTCATAACACAGAACAAGTTGCCTAGACTTAGTTTCCAAAAGGTAGTGGTTGAAACAATATTGAGGTAGAGGAAGGTTTTGTTGGATTGTTGCAAAAGTGACTAATACGTTTTTAAAGTAAATACAGCTTTTTGTTCATTAAGTTTTTCATCTATTGTGAAACAGAACTATCTATTTAGGGGGACTCAAGGAAAAAGGTGAATTTTCTGCTTTTCTGCCTTTTGTCACCGTGATCTTTCAGATAATTTAGCTTCTATCTGTCTTCATGCCACAAAATACACCATTGCAGACTTAGAATTTTGAGCTATTTTATAGTTCACAGTGTTGCTATCCTGCTACATTATTAAAAGAATCAACTGATGATAGAGTACGGAGTTACCTGGTACCTGCTTTTGTCCAAAATTGAAAACAAATTTCTTAAAACATGCATAATTTTTTTTTGCTTTCTTTCTCTGTTTTATACAAAAAAAACTAATAGAAATTTAAAATAAAGTATAAAAATCCAAATCTAAATATGTAACAGAATAAATGCTTAAAATTATGGTAGTCATATTGTTTTTTCCTCGAGGTATAAGAAAACAGCATATCTTCCCAATTCAGACTTTATTGCAAGTTTCTGCTTTCAATGTATTGCTTTTCTATATGCATAAAACATACAGATAAACAATACCCTATTGTTCCATTTGAAAACTACACTCTGTATTTTATCCTGTCTTTGATTATATTCAACCGGTTACTTCAGTATTATTTGAAGTGTAGATTCTGGTCTGTTGTATTTCTACTTCCTTGACTCACTAATCTGGTAGATAAATTGAATTTGATACTCGGTATCAGTTAGCCTTTTCTTTGATCTTTTTTTCTTTCTCTCTCAGCAATGTATATCATCTTTGATTTTACCTGTGTCACATTTAATTTTCTACTTCATAAACTGCTCTTTTAAACCCATTAGATGCTCTTAGTGAATCAATGAAAATGCCAATAGTTGCAGGGTTAAAATAGCACTAGAATTATTAGCTAGTTATCTGATATCTTAATGTTCCTCAGTAAGAACCTGACACTGTGCCTTTTCTTGAAACAGCTGACTTGAGTCCTAATGTTCACCTTCTCAAAAAAGGTGTTAGCAAGGCATACCTTTAAAAAAAAAAAAGTAGAATGTGACCTAGGAAATACTATGTTATAGAGAATATTTTTGAAAAGCAGTGAAATTGTGGTATTAAATCTCCAACGACACCTGGAATAGGCTAACTTCAGACTGAAGCAGTTGCTAATCTTGGTTTTCTGAAGCTATTTTCATTTAAGTTTGCCTTAATATATTGGACTAAAAATTGACAACTTAGATGCTTCTTTTTGTACCTTGTTCAATTATTTCTGCCACAGGAGCAGAAGTTTAGGAAGTTAGGGCGGGTGGGCAGGTGCTTTGATGCCAGACCTTTGCTTTTATATGCAAGCAAGCTGTGTTCCCTGCATAGGTCATGTAGGAATCTTAAATCAAAAAATATGTTCTAGATGTCTCTTTTGGAAATGCTGAAGTAGGTGTCCTCTAAGCTTTGCCCCCACTTGGCCATTAAAAAGACACTGCCTCATCTAGATTAGTGTTTTGAAAATACTAGTTTTAAATTTATCTTCCCCAGTCTCTAAGTTAACAAAAAATGTGCTCTATTTGAGTATTTTGTTGTGTTTTGTTTATTTTTTTAACTTTATTACAGCAATGTCCACTTGATTCATATACTAAAATGCAGCTATGAGAAGCAGTTTCAGGCAATTGTGCTTGATTTGAAGAGAGACTTCAAGGCACTTGATTCAGTTTTGTTCAGTGTTGGTGTTATATTTAAGGTTTCAGATTGTATAAGGATTTCTGTAGGATGAATACAGTCAGGAGAAATTAGTTACTCCTTTATTTGCACTGATCCTTCCCATCATCCTCAGTGCTGCCCATTGTTTTCAGTTCTTCTGCCTTTAGGGCTATTAATATGTGTGAACTCGTGCTGTAAAAGTTGGCTGCTTTGGGGAGGCCCAACTTTCCCTGGAGTGTAGAGCTTGGAGGACGTTTCCTCAGGTGTCTGGAGGAGAGGTTTTCAGGGAAAGCTTTTGATGGATGAACCCACAGTCTAGCAGATGTGCTAACTGCTGCTATGAGCTTCAGTAGCCTGCATCATCTTCTGCCTTTCCTGCTTTGCCTTCTCCTGACCATTACTGAGAGCACCCTGTGCCACCTGCTTCCTCTTGTCTTTTAAGCACACTTTGCATATGGAATAAAACTGGTTCAAATTTATTACAGCACTGTTTTCTGTTAAAAGATCATTACCAGGAACTTTTTAAAGTTGCTTATGCAGGTGAAAGGGATTCGGCGTTCACCATGTCTGCCTCGTGGAAGAAAAAAAAGACACAGTAACTTCTGCCTGTTGCTACACACAACATTGCCTAAGTTTTTGAACTTGCTTGGTGCATCTTTCTTGAGTTGTTGTGTATTATAGGGATAAAAAAAACTGATACCATTAAATATGTCTCCATTCTGCTTGAATTTTGACATGATTTCACTTATTAAAGTGCAAGCTGAGAAAACAGGGAACACTGAAGTGTTGTGGCACACACCTGCTGACAAGGATTTAGCCCATGACTGATTACAGATCTACAAGTTGGCACCCTGGCATGGCCACCTTTTAAGCCTACGGTGCACTGCTCTTGGCTCCTGGTACTTTTTCTGCCCTGGTTTGTCCTGGAGACTGCACTGTGCTGACATTTAACCTTCTTGGGGTTATGATGCTCTTTTACAGTGCATTAGTTCCTTCCTTCAAACCCTTGGTAGGTGTAATCTATGCTTGAGAACACTGCCTGAATGAGGCGTAACTTGTGTAATCTCTGGACAACAAGTTGACTGACATATTTGTTCTTGCATCCTGATTGTTTCTGATGTGAAGTTCATCTTTTGCTGCAAAGATTTTTATCAGATAGGAGTTCCAATAAGTATTAATTTTGTTTGTATCTTAAGAAGCATGTAACACTGACCAAGTATTTATTGAGATTGTCATGCTAAAATTTATACAGATTTTTTTTTCCACTGTCACTTCTGAAATGTGCCAACATTTTTGAAGGTTTTGCCACTGTAGCTTTTTTGGATGATTTCCTTCCTGCGAAAGTTTCAGCTGCCATAGAAAGTGAAAATAGGAAGAAAACACTTTAAAAGTTTAAAACATACCTTTGCAGCTAGAAATGTTTTTTACATGCACACTAGATGTATTAGAAAAACATGGTTTGCATATGGAGATAGAATCTGTTCTTGGTATTTTGATCCAAGATTCAGTGATGCAAATAGGAATCTTTTCATTGACTTCAGTGGTCTCTGGATCAGGCTGCTAATTCAAAAGGGTTTTTTTCCCCCTCAGTAACTTGACTTTTTTTTTTTTTTTTTTTTTTTTTTTTTTTTTTTTTTTTTTTTTTTTTTAAGGAATGAATGTTCCTTCCACAGTGGGTTTGGCAGGGTCACCTTGCTGCAGAACAGGCAGTTCTGCTTAACAGCTGTGGGCATAATTAGAAGAAGCTGTGTGTGGGCTACATAAAAGCACTCACCCGCACCCTGGAGAAAGTGGTAGTTGCTGTGGAGAGGCTCCAGTCTGCCTTAGTGTTTCCATCTATCCATCTGGGTTTCTTATTTTTGGCATTCGGAAGTGGATTTTGTTTGGAGTTTCTTTATTGTTATGCCTCTGCTAGGCATGCAGAAACACACCAAGTAAGCATGAACTGTTCTTCTAAATGTGATTTTTACACTTATTAAAATATCACGAACATTTTTGTAGTAAACTAAAATTGTTAACAATCATCTCCATACTAGGGTCGATGAATATTCTTAACCTTGGATTTATCCATTGTTTGAATTATTTTAACTCTAGATTTTTTGGTTAGATTAATTCTGAAGATTGCCCATCATTTGCACTTCCATAATTCTTTGTTTCCTTGCTATTGTCTTCAGCGGTAGTAGGTTATCCACCATAAGAATACATGGGACCATTCTGTTTTTCATATTCAATCTAATTTGTGCAGTCTTATGGGCAGATACGAGCAAGCTCTGCCTGCCCTGAAAGCAGCTGAATGGGATCCAGCTCTGATCAAAAAGTCTTAGTTCTATTAGTTCAAGCAGATTTTTGCTAATGCAGTTGCAGATACATTTAGCAAACCTGAATTACAGACAGATTTGATCCTTTGTGCAAAGAATTCACTAGACATCATAGCAGCAATTACATATTTTAATTATAGTTGGAAGTAATGCAAGATGGTCCTGACTGTGATGTCTGCTCTTGTTTAAACTCCTCAGAGCCCTGGAAGGGGATGCATAGCGGTGTTTACCTTGCAGTTCATGAACAGATGTGGTTAAACTAGCACTGTATCTCGTTAGTACTTTCTCTTCCCATATGAAACTTCTGATATTCACTTTTATAAAGAAGGGGAAAAGTAACCTTCTTTCTGGGAACCACAAGCAAGTTACCTGAGAGTACAGATGCGGAGACTGTCTGCTCTGTATTTCCTAGAAGAAAGGTTTGAAGGGTGACTGGAGACACACTATACAAGGTGACTGGAGTGACTATGTAAGTCATCTTCAGAGGGACAGGAGCTGCAAGCTATTCCTTTAGCTGCACAGAAGTGTAAGCCAGGGGCGTGTGCTCTTGTGTGCAAGAGCACTCCTGTGCGGTGCTGCAGAAATCTTGTGCTTCTACAAATAGAGCACCTGGAGATGGCACAGGCTTGGAGGCTACCTCTGGACACACACAGGAATAAGAGCTGTTGTAGTTCTTCATCATGGGAAAATTTGCGTGTTAGGTAGTTACTACAGCTAATGAAGTCTCATGGTAGAAACCGGAATGTTGATTTACGAAGTGTTTAACCTTTCATTGGTTTTAACAGGAGGAGAGAAACTCAAACGCTCTGCTTTTGAGCCCATATAGTTTCTTACATGGATACAGGATTTGACCACACAGTTCCTACAGTTTTATTGAGCTTGTTATTTGGCGGTAGAATTATTTCAAAGATAAATATATGTATTTAAGTCTGCTATAACTAGTATAAAAGAAGTGCTTGGGACAATGAAGGTAGATTCATATACATTAAAGATAGTCTCTTGTAAGTCTTCATCCTGCGCACAGCTTTTCCTGTTTTGTTAGTGAAGGACAGTTGAATGCAAGTGAATCTTAGTAGATTTGTCCATTCACAATGTTTGCCTTGAATTGTTACAGCCTCAGATTCATAAATGATATCCAAAAGATGTTACGTGCAAATGTTAGTTGTGGTTTACAGTTAAGGAATTAAATAGGAAGGTATGAGTTTTTAAGAATCAAACTTCAGTAGGACCTAAATTAAATGTTACATATATATTGTAGCTTTGTGAATGAATAAAAATAATGTCTAGCACTTGCATATTAGCACATTGCTTCCTTCTGTAGAACTTGCTGTTGCGATTTCTAGATGGTGGAGACATTTTTTGAGGAAGAGGTCACAGAAGTCAGAAGCAAAATCTTCACTGACTCATTAGATGTCATGTTTCCAAATGTGTGCTTTTAGGGGAAAATATTTCTCTGTACCTTCTCAAGTATCAAGTGACTTTCTTCACCTTTAGAGGTTTGCTATTTCCACCAGACAAGTGGTGAATTGTTTCTGCTGATATTCTTAGTTGTCACCTCTTTCTTTTTTTCTAGGCCATGCACCAAGTAACTGTATTTTAGTACTTGATATGCTGAGAATGTGTGAAAAAAAATCTAGGGAAAAAAGCCTTGAGCTGATTGCTATTAGAATAAAAAGCCTGAGAGAGAGTGCAGCATGCGGCCAAGGACAGCCTTGTGTGGAGGATGTTTATGCTAAAAATTAGACACATTCTACTTCATATCAAGAAAAGCAAGTTAGTGGCTTGTTTTATAGACGCAGGATGTGTAGCTCTTCAGCTGCAGCATTAATATGTTGGCTATTCAGCTGTTGGTTATTCAGAACAAATATTCTGCTATAAATATTGTACATAATAGCAAACTTAATCCAGTCCCAAGTTCAGAACTTATTACCAAAAAAAAAAGTATCTATCTAAAAATCTTAGCTGTCTACATACCCATCTGTCTATTCCAGTGGTTTTTACTCTGCTTTCCTTTTGATGAAACTGATGTGACAGAGAAACTGCTAGATGCTGGCAAGTAATCCCTGGGTTTCAGACCAGCCAGACAATAAACAACTCTCTAATATTCAGTGCAGCAGCTTCCGTAGAGCCCATCTGCTTCAAAATAACCCTAATTCTGCTTACAGCGCGGAATGCCTCGGTGGCTGGAGCTCGTCCTAATTTCCGTGGTGGCCCGTGCGACTCCGGTGCCATCTGCTGGGTGCTGGAGCTGTGTCACCGGAGGCAGCCCAGCCACGGGCGCCTTCCCCTGCGAGCTTATAGTTATAAGTTACAGTATTGGCTATTAAATTGTTCCCCAGAGCCCTCTCCTAGGGGTTTAAAGCAGTTTGCTGCATGAAGCTCTCTAGCTTTGGTTTACAGGGTAGTTTACTGTTTTCTGCTAGTCTCCCAAAACGACATTTCAAATTTTGGAGCTATTTGAAAAAGATGAGGTCCAAGCCTAGATGGGATCAAGTCATGCCCGTACAGTTTTTCCTCCATGTCTGACATGGCTTTTGGGACTGGGATTACTTGCTTGTGAGTCCGGCCTTTCTAGAGGCAGACTGTGGTGCTGAGGCGGTGCGGTGCTGTGGCCTCTGAGAATCTGCGCTGGGAGCTCCTCCTGTTTGATAACTGCCTTCAGTTTTACATATTTTAGTGTCCCTCAGATATGGAGGAGCTATTTTCCCTGACTCATTCTCTCTCTATTTCTTTCTTCCTGTGGTGCTGAAAAGATTGTGTCTTTTTCTGCATAGAAAGTGATTGTGTCAAATTACTATTTCTGCATATTTTGTTAAATTATATTGTTTTATTAACATTTTTGTTATATTAAAAATGAAAGATGTCAGGGAACTATTTTGGGTAAGAGGATTATTTAAATACATACATCAATATATAAATACATATATTCAAACCCTTGCATTCAGACAGTTCTTCATTTTCCATATATTTTGATGTGCAAATACCACTTCTTGAAGATCACCAAAAAGCTTTTAAAAATACATTGAGAGCCTTTTCTTACTAGGTCAATATATAATGGAGCAATTTTCTAAAACTTTCTACTTTGCTTACACATACCAGGCATCTTACTGTTGCATGCTGTTCTGCAATGGAAAACTGTGCATGCAGGTAGGGCAAGAGGTGCTGAGAATATCCAGGGCTTTTGCAGTGTTGGTCACATTAGTGGCATGGCATTTTCAGAGCTTCGAGGAGCAACTTGCATGCGTTTCAGTTTTGCATTTAGGCAGTTGAAACACAGGAGCAAGCTGAAGATAAAATACCAAATGCACATTAAATTCACTTCCCTTGTGCTAATGTGATTTTGAAAAAATCCTCTTAAATGATGTGTCTCATTTGATAAATGCTCAGGTTAATACTGTCACCTACTAGTGTCTAAGCAGCTATGTATCTCGAAATGTTTTCCAAGCGTTTTAGTTCTTGGCAAGTAAAGAAGAAATTGTGGCAGGCATGTTCTAGTGTTTTTACAGAAACTTGCATTTGTTGGTGAGTACGCTGTGAGTAGAGACCCTTGTAACTGAAAGGGAAAGTAACAGGGCTGTTTGGAAACAGGACTTTCACTGGTGGTGTGACATAAATGGGCCTTACCTCGTTGAGTGAAATTTCTGATGCAGGACACAGCTGCAATTAAAGTTTCTCTTGAAAATGAACAGAATAGTGTGATACTTGCTTTCTGTTTCCAAATTCGTATTGCTAACTGAAGTAAGGTCCTGAATGCATGTTTAAGAAATGCAAGATACTAGAGTCCATCATGATATTGTTAAAACTAGTTTATTTATCCTTAATATTGCACACAAGTTCTGGAGGCAGCCTCTCATCTTTGTCTCCCGAGTCCCCCTGGGATATAGGAGGCTGAGGCTGTGAAAAACCACAGCCTCTGCTCTGCCTTAGATGTGAATTCTGGATTCACAATTGCTGGAGTAGTTTGTTCTTTTTCTCTCTCGTAGTGCCAGGAGAGAGCACCTAGGACAGAACAGTCAGCCTTGCTGTGTGCTATTTCTGCTCAGATTCTTTTCCTTACAGATTCTCTCCAGCTGAAGTGCCACGTGTAGTTTATTTCTTAATTGCTTGCTGTCAACTAAAAAGGCATTTTATGTACATCTGGTATGGGTCACCACATGTTGGACATGCTAACAGCTAATTTAAGAGCTTATTTTGCCAGGAGAAACTACTGAGGACATATTTCAGCTGGAGTGTATGAAGCAGGGATTGTGAAAAATGTGAACTTCTAAAGAAATATCTACTTGACTTATTTTGCTTGTTTGTTTTGAGGGGGTTGTCTTTTTAAGAGCAGAGGCTATTGACTGTGATTGTCCTAAACAACTGGAGTTGGAAACATGCAACTCTGTTAGCCTCTGTGTTGGCATGTTTTGGTGATATGTGAATTTGCCCATATTAAAGAACAAAATAGCAATTGTTTTTCATTGTGTCTTGCAGATTTTGGTGGAGCGACACAAGATAACGTGCGACGACCCTATGGCTTTTGGTTTCCACCTGAGCAGCTTTCAGAAGAAGAAATGAGAAGGCAAAGACTACTTAGGTTTGAGAGACGGTGAAATTAGCAGGTGTTGATGTAAATTGCAAAGTGCCCTTCAGAATTACCAAAATATTTGTAGGATTATTCATTTGTAATCATTTGTATACTACTCGTTGCAAAACTGCAAAACATGCCGAGGTTTTGAAGAGTTTAGACTCAATTGGAACTTGCATCAGAAGTGTGAGATGGGAGGACTGAAACTGTGATCTTTTTTTTTCAGTCTTGATGCATGGGAGAATTTAGGAGGAGGCTGCTAGGTGGACAGGAGGTTTTGCGCGTGCTCCTTCGCTCTCTTGCGCTCTCTTTTGTGTAGCTGGAAGAATTCCTTGGCTTTTTTACTGCTCACATTCTGAGTCAGGGTTCCTTCATCCATCACAAAGTAGTTATATTTGACTTCTGATGACTTACTGCTTTGAGATTGACATGCGAGATGTCATTTTAAAAGACTGCATTGATAGCAGCCTATAAACTTGAGCTCCCTAGCAGTCTTAAGCTGTGCAGAGAAAGAAAAATGCAGTTATTGTTATCTTTAGAAGTTATTTAATATAACCTTGAATATTGCAGTCTTCCTTAGATCCTGTCATTTTCATCTAGAGATTGTGTGTGATAAAGCTGAGTTATCACTAAGTTCCTAAAGCCATTCTTTGTTTAAATCAAAAAATACCTTCCTTTATAAGAGTTAAAATAACTTTCTTAGAACTTCTACGAAAAGGGTGATAGTTATACAATGTAAAAATGTATTTATACTTCTTAAAATCATCTATCTCTTTACTAAGAGGCTGTGTATCCTGCAGACTTTGGAAACTGTATCATGTACATGTTCATGCAGCTTTAGAAATCTCACTGTTTCTCTGTGTGTGTGCGGATGTATGTATGTATCTCATTTGACGTCTAGTAGGAGGTGTAAGAGGTAGCAGACTTGTGGAGATCTCGCCTGAATGCAGGAGCCGTGAAAGCTCTGTTTCCAGGCAGGGGTTTCTCTGCGCACCCTGCTCGGGGCTCAGGAGCTCAGCCACCCCCCGGCGGGTCCCTGCGCCCACCATCCCAGGCGGGCGCTCTGCACCCTCTCTCCGTGCAGGCTGCCCTCGGACCAGCTCTCGGTTAATCTCACAAGTCAGAACCAAGGCTGAGGGTATCTGTCCAGTTAGTAACATTAACAAACGGAGTGTTTGTTTGTTCCAGTATCATTTTGAAAACTGTGATTTTTTTTTTTTGTTTTTCCCCCCCCCAAACTCTTTTCTGCAATGGGAGAATTTCTCCTGAGACTGGGGACGTCTTCTATAACTCTTTTCCGTCCTGAAGAGATACAGTCGCACAAGAAGAATTTGGTTATTGTCTTTGGGCACGGAATTGCTGGAATCTTCAGCGCTAATTTAGTAGCATGCTAGCATGAATAATTTTAAAGCATTTTTTCAGGTTTGTGTAATCAGTGATCTGTGCTTTATGAAGTCTGGAGACCTGTCCTCCTCCATTGAGTTGTGTTGTGCAAGGACTGTTCTCTCTTCTGTGCCATGGCCACTTCCACCATTGCCTTAGACCTTGTGCTGATTTTGTGCCCAGAAGCAGCACAGGATAACATAGGGTTTGAGCCCTTCAAGGTCCTGAGAGCCAAAAGACAGGCTGTGATGTGACTTTGTTGTGCTTACCAAGGGAGCGCAAGAGCACTGTTAGTACTGCTGAGGCCTGTAGTACTTATTTTAGTACTTAAGTACCTTAGTAGTTGATTGTTTGAGGCTCGTAGTATTTAGAGACCAGAGATGGTTGTTTGTCTTCTCTTGGCTGTTTTATGAAATATAACAATATATGCCATAGCCACAGAATACAGTGGCGGATATTCATATCTTCTAGTAGGTCACTTTTTCTAATTTCTTATAATGTCTCTAATTAGGTATTGAAAAAAATTGCATAGGCTTTGAATGTTTGGCTTAATGTGCAATAACTTTGTAAATGAGGAAGGAACAGCGCGGGTGCCCCAAACTCATCACAGTGCTCTGCTGGGAAGTTTCCATGTGCCTTACTTGGTCTGTTTAACTCCACTTTCTCCTTATGTAGAGCGCCTGTGTTCGAGTTCCCCTCTTTATTCATATTTTGTCAAGCACTTGCCACTAAATATTGATGAAATTTGTCAGTAATAAGTTGTTTAGCTGTTTTCACTTTTTTCTACATGAAATTGAAATAAATATTTTTCATATTTCCAAATGATCTGTTTTTCATTATGGTGGTTAATAAAGCATGCATTTTGAATTACAATATTATTAGAAATTTGTAACACTGTGGGGGCACATAACTTATGTTGGGTCTAATTTTGCTCCTTTGCCTTCTGTGATTGAGTTGTTGGGAAGAAGTTCTGTTATTTATAGTATTTTGGAAAGTTTATTAATAGAATGATTCTTTAGTAGCAGTTTATCCTGTTTTTTCCTTACAGAATATGGATGCATCCTTTAGCACTCCCCACCACCACGCACTTGTTTCAGATGTCTGATGATGGTAGGTGCAAATGTCAGATGAATTTCTAACATATGGTTTGTTCTACTTCCTCAGGGATAAAAATTCAGGCAGTTTACATAAACCTAACATAAACATTATATCACACTATTCTGTCATCCTCTTTAGTGGCTTAGTCTACATAAAATAAGGATTTTTCAAGGAAAAAAATGTAGTCCTGTATAAATGTTTCGTATTTGAAATTTGATTCCTTTTTTCTCAGGAGCTGTGATATCTTGTGAATGTTTAGTGCTTCCTCTGCCCTTTGTGATCAGGTGCTAGGTAAGAAATCTCACATCCCTAATTAAGTCTGTGGCAGATGATTTAGTTTTATATAATTAATGAACTTGAGTTGGAGACAACAGAGCAAACCTACAAGAGCACTGTCCATAGAGTGATCCTGACCAAATGAGGCGGGGTGGGGAGGGAGGGAAAGAGATCATCTTGTGCCTGAAGATCACAAAAGAAACTTGACTGAAGGACTTGGCAGAATAGGGTAAGTACAGCTTCCAAAGGGCTTCTCTGCTTTTGTGATGTGACAGGGAGTGGGTGTTGCAGTTCATCACTTCTCACTCCATGATTAGTGAATCATTATTTATTTTATAAGAGTCCACATGGTTCAAGGGGGATTTGCCCTTTACCAAAAGCAGTTGGTTGCTAGATACTGACACATAGGCACTGTGGCTCCTGGGGGAGTGTGCAGAGGAGGAAAACAGAACAGCCTCCTGGCTTCCCTGTATTCCCCGTTAACTGCTCCCGCAGTTGGACTGCCATGGGTGTGCGGAGCGAGCAGCGCCCTCGCACCCCGGGCAGAGCCTGCTGAAATCAGGTGAGTTTGTTTGTTTCTTTTGTTTCTGTTTTCACTGAGGTTTATCTGATGCTTCTGGCTAATCTTGCAAGAAGAACCTGATGTGAGGAGATGTTTTTTGCAGAACACAATTTTCTCTAGAAAAACATAAAAGTGACGTGAAAATTTTTTGCTTGATGTTATTTCCACGATGGTACTGCTGTGGGAGCTGCTAAGATGACTGCATTTATCGTGATAGCGGAGTAAACTGCTACATAAAAGCAGAATACTTTCAGTGAACAAATAATTGTTGCCCTGAGGTTGCACTAATACATTCACCTTGGATTATTTAAGCATTTTCCACTTTATTCTAAGTTTAAAAAAAAATGTCGTAAGGTTAATTTGTCTTATTCGTTTTAAGATTTCAGAAGGTAAGCAAATATTGACTGCTTTCAGCTTTTACTTGTAGATATGACTCTAAGGGAAAATTAATCTTTTGGAGGTGTAAATTTTGCCTTGCCTTGTAATATTTACTCATATCCAGTTACTTTTCCAGTGAGTAAGAAGACTGCAGAAAGACAGTTTACTGTGCACATTTGTATAGCTTGGATGTTTGTTTTCTACTGCATACTTGGAGTAAAGGAATTGGGTTAGTTTCCAGTGTAGCAAAACAAATATAAGCAAAGGGATTTAAGCCATGCAGGTAATGAGTCCTTGAAACAAGTTAAGGATGTTCTGGAATTTCCTCTCCCTCTTTTAAGAGGCGCTTGGACCAGTATCTGTTAGGAGCTGTTGAAGATCTACTGTTTGCTTGCTCTTGCCTTAGTTGAGTGGTTTGGGTTTAGTGTTATACTGAATTTTGCAACTCTTCACAAGGATCCTTTAAGAGCTGTTGGTGGGCACTTCACTGCTGTGAATCCAGCAATTTATGCAGGTTTTTCTGTGCCCAGTTTAGAAGTTAAGGAACATCCATTAAATCTGTACAATGCAAATAAGTAGGGAATTATCTTTTTGACTAGTATTCTTTCATTTGCATTGTAAGTGTTAGATGTGCTGTTCTGCATCTGAGGATGCTGTTGTATATTCTGTTGGCTAAAGAACAGGTCAATCATGTTTTTAAGGAGCCAAATTTAACCTTAATTTAAAAAGTGCTTCAATTGGTGCTAGTAGGATTCCTTTCGTTTCCATCACTATGAAAAGTTTCATATTTTCAAACATTTATATAGAAAAATATTTCTGGCAGCTTCCAATACAAGTTTTGAAATAGTTGATGTGTGAGGGCCAAAGCTGCCCCTCTTGTTGCATCCAGCCTTAACAACAAATCGGCAAAGGGGGTTTGTGCTGGAGCAGCCTCGGCTCTAGAGGCCGGCCGCTCAGCGCAGCCCTGAGGCGCCTGCACGGGCCGGGCCGGTGCTGCCAGGAGCACCGGCGCAACAGGGGCGCTGCTGCTTCGAGCTGACGCGTCCGACCGTATTAAGAACAGGCTGTTCGTATGGTTTACTTGATGCATGGACCTGAAATACAGGTGAGCTTCCAGCATATAGAAGTACGTATTTTTAACCTGATTATGTCACTGTAACTAGCAGAATATAGGATGAATGGTCATTGACGTATTTCACTTCCAATGTGTCAAAATGATAAAATGTTTCTTTAGGCAGAGTACGTAAAATTTTCAATTTCTGTGCTTTATCATCAGGAAGTACATGCTATATATGCAGAGATATATATGTACAGCTCTTTCAATGGCCAAAATATAAAATAATAGTAGCACTTACTGCATGTTTCACTTTTTACATGCATTCTAATTAAACACAATGAAATTAAAGTATTTGAAAGGACTAATTTGCCTTAGCATTTTAAAGATAAAATATGTGGAGGCTGCAGGTGCTTCAGAGTAGCTGTTTGTAATGTAGATGGCTTCAAGTCCCATCAGAATTTAATTGTTCTCTACCTGTGAGAAATTCTAATTTTCTCTTAAACAAAAAGAAACCGCTGTCTTTCTCATGCAGAACTGCCAAAGAGGGACACACAGAGCCCAATACAGGACTATTTTTTGTGGTCAGATCTGGCTTTTCTGTTTAGCAGAATTTTCTTTTAGCAAGCTGAATGTTTGGATTTTAACTTTATTCCAAAGATTTCTATGTCACTTTTTCTTTTAACTCTTATAAGCAGTCTTTTTTATACATAATTTCATAACTAAGTCCAGTATGAATAACTCGCCTATTTTTTGCTTACAATCACTGCACCAGTGATTACAGAACTAAAGCACATGTTGCTTTTTAATTTGGTCCATGTCGTGCTTGCCTTATCATATTAAGTAATTTACCTACAACTTTTTCTAATGAGTGCAATATTTTAGAATGATTCTGCTGAAGCATGAAACAAACTGGCATATTTACTACATAACCCAGGGTATCAATGACAGCCTAAAAATACCTCCTAGATAGTATGTTTTTATGAACCTTAGTAAACCATTCTTGGCACTGTTGCAAGAGGTGTGCACCAAAATACCAGAAAACACAATTCTTTTACATCATATTTTAAAGCAAATGCAAGATTATACAGTTCTAAGAAGAGGCTTTAGATTATTTTAGATGATTTCTTTGTTTCTTTGTAGATTTTTATGGGTATTAGAAGATTTTTTTTTTCTG